TCTAAATAGTGTTGCGATAAAAACGAGCTATGAGACAAGCGCCGTAACGTATCCTGGCGCCACGTCGAGCTAAACAGGATCGAATGTCTTCCGCCTAGAAACGATGTGTGTCTACTTTCGCGTTTTCCAATCTCGATTTCCAATCGTGCTCTATTTTAATCGCGGTTACGATATTTTTTACGCTTTTTCCTTTTTTCTTCATTTCGATTCTTTTCGTCTTCTCGTGTTTATTTCATCTAATGCTCTCGACGAGTCACCCATTCAACGAAATAGAAACGGCGCAACTCGCGACCATCCGTCCAACTTATGTCCTACTTACGTTTAAATCGGTACTTGTTGCTCGAGAATTGCTTACACGTATTAATATCATCGTCGCGTGTTATCGTTAAATTCACGTACGTTCATAATTGATCGAGATTAGCTTGCGGATATATGTGTGTGTACAGCGGACTAAATATCATATAGGACGATTAAAAAATCGACAGCGAGCGTGGTGTGTGCTTGCGCGCATTCCTTTTTTCTTGCTTCTCCATCGTTTTATATTTTTTAGTAAACCTTATATGGCATCGTGTGGTGAATCGTGATTTTACAGCGTGCCGCGTTCTTCCTACGGTTATAGTCGATCGGCGAAAAAACAAAGAAAGAATATTGTTTGTTTGTTTCTTTTTAACGTTCGTTACGCCACCACGGCATCGATGCGACATATCTGTCTGAAACTACTCGCTACGACGACAACGACAACGACGACGCACTCTCTGCGACACTGTCGCAAAAACAGTGCTCCTAGAAAATTGCTCTCCGCGACGTCGAGACTCAAGATCGTCGATCACCGATGAAGAGGGGGACACAACCTTCGTTACGAAATTATAAATCGTATATATATATATATGTATAATATCGTCGATATATGTATGTATGTATGTATAATATCATATGCCTGCGGGGAGCGGCAGTGTGGCACAACCATGACTTAAAAAGCGAGTAACTAATGTATCTCGTGTGTACTTCCCGTGACTCGTGGCGCATCCAAGCGACAATTGTAACGTAGGACCGTCTCGTCAAATAAACCCCCCGTTGGAAAAATTCACCGTCGCCGAGAGCACGCGTCGCGGGCCGGAGGATTCTCTAGTCGCGTTTCCGTATTACTTCCTGTTCTCTCTATCGTAAAACATCCAACGAACATGCCGGGTATTGTTCGTCTGTTCGATGTCGGAACGCTGCGGTACTGGTACGTTCAGCGACGCCTGTATCTTGCCCCCGCGAACAAAAATTGCCCGCTTCGTCTGTCAATATTGGCAGTCGATGAATTTGGCAGTTTCGTAAACCGTGTGGCCTTGGTGTTTGAAAATTGAGCAAGAACGAGCTGTACGAAAAGACGCGAGATCGAAATCGAGATAAAGGCCAAAAAGGTGGATGAAATGATATGGTCGAAATAGACGA